GATCATCATCATCATCATCATCATTCATCATCATCATTCATCATTCATTCATCATGTCATTCATCATTCATCATCAGTCATTACATTCATCATTCATTCATTCATCATTCATTCATCATCAATCATTCATCATTCATCACATCATTCATTCATCATTCATTCATTCATTCATTCATTCATTCATTCAGTCAGCTTCATTCATTCATTCATATTCATTCATCATTCATTCATTCAATTCATTCATTCATTCAATCATTCATTCATCATTCATCATTCATTCATGCATCATTCATCATTCATTCACATCATCATTTCATTCATTCATCATCATTCATTCATCATCATCACATCATTCATTCATTCATTCATTCATTCATTCATCATCATTCATTCATCATTCATCATCATTCATCATTCATTCATTCATCCAATTCATTTCATCATGCATCATTCATTCATTCATTCATGTCATCATTGCATTCATCCATCATTCATCTTCATCATTCATCATTCATTCATTCATTCATTCATTCATCATTCATTCATTCATTCATTCATTCATTCATTCATTCATTCATTCATTCATTCATTCATTCATCATTCATTCATCATTCATCATTCATTCATCATTCATTCATTCATCATTCATTCATTCATTCATTCATCATTCATTCATCATTCATTCATTCATCATTCATTCATTCATTCATCATTCATTCATTCATTCATTCATTCATTCATCATTCATTCATCATTCATTCATTCATTCATTCATTCATTCATTCATTCATTCATTCATTCATTCATCATTCATTCATTCATTCATTCATTCATTCATTCATTCATTCATTCATTCATCATTCATTCATTCATTCATCATTCATTCATTCATTCATTCATCATTCATTCATTCATTCATTCATTCATTCATCATTCATTCATTCATTCATTCATTCATTCATCATTCATTCATCATTCATTCATCATTCATTCATCATTCATTCATTCATTCATTCATCATTCATTCATTCATCATTCATTCATTCATTCATTCATTCATTCAGTCATTCATCATTCATTCATTCATCATTCATTCATCATTCATTCATTCATTCATTCATTCATTCATTCATTCATTCATTCATTCATTCATTCATTCATCATTCATTCATTCATTCATTCATTCATTCATCATTCATTCATTCATTCATTCATTCATTCATTCATTCATTCATCATTCATTCATTCATCATTCATCATTCATTCATCATTCATCATTCATTCATTCATTCATTCATTCATTCATTCATCATTCATTCATCATTCATTCATTCATTCATTCATTCATTCATTCATTCATTCATTCATTCATTCATTCATTCATTCAGTCATTCATTCATTCATCATTCATCTTCATTCATTCATTCATTCATCATTCATCATTCATTCATTCATTCATTCATTCATTCATTCATTCATTCATTCATTCATTCATCATTCATTCATTCATTCATTCATTCATTCATTCATTCATTCATCATCATTCATTCATTCATTCATCATTCATTCATTCATTCATCATTCATTCATTCATTCATCATTCATTCATTCATTCATCATTCATTCATTCATTCATTCATTCATTCATTCATTCATTCATTCATTCATTCATTCATCATTCATTCATTCATTCATTCATTCATTCATTCATTCATTCATTCATCATTCATTCATTCATTCATCATTCATTCATTCATTCATTCATTCATTCATTCATCATTCATTCATTCATTCATCATTCATTCATTCATTCATTCATCATTCATTCATTCATTCATTCATTCATTCATTCATTCATTCATTCATCATTCATCATTCATTCATTCATTCATTCATTCATCATTCATCATTCATTCATCATCATTCATTCATTCATTCATCATTCTTCATTCATTCATTCATTCAGTCATCATTCATTCATTCATTCATTCATTCATCATTCATTCATTCATTCATTCATTCATTCATTCATTCATTCATCATTCATTCATTCATCATTCATTCATTCATCATTCATTCATCATTCATCATTCATTCATTCATTCATTCATTCATTCATTCATCATTCATTCATTCATTCATTCATTCATTCATTCATCATTCATTCATTCATTCATTCATCATTCATTCATTCATTCATTCATTCATTCATTCATTCATTCATTCATTCATTCATTCATTCATTCATTCATTCATTCATTCATTCATTCATTCATTCATTCATTCATTCATTCATCATCATTCATTCATCATTCATTCATCATCATTCATTCATTCATCATTCATTCATTCATTCATTCATTCATTCATTCATTCATTCATTCATTCATTCATTCATCATTCATCATTCATTCATTCATTCATTCATTCATCATCATTGCATTCATTCAGTTCATTCATTCATTCATTCATCAGTCATTCATTCATCATTCATTCATTCATTCATCAGTTCATTCATTCATCATTCATTCATTCATCATTCATTCATTCATTCTTCATTCATTCATTCATTCATTCTTCATTCATTCATTCATTCAGTAGTCATTCATTATTCATTCATTCATTCATTCATTCATTCATCATTCATTCATCATTCACTCATTCATTCATTCATTCATTGCATTCATTCATGTCATTCATTCATCTCATTCATTCATTCATTCATTCATTCATTCCTTCATTCATTCTATTCATGTATTCATTCATTCATTCATTCAATTCTTCATTGCATCCATCATTCAGTTCTATTCATTCATTCATTTCAGTCATCAGCACATTCATCATACCATTCATTCCTCATTCATTCATTCATTCATCATTCATTCATTCATTCATCATTCATTCTATTCATCATTCATTCATTCATTCATTCATTCATTCAGTCCATCAGTGCCATTCATTCATTCATGCATTGCATCATTCATCTTGCTTATTCATGCATCATTTCATTCATTCATTCATTCAATGTCATTCAATCATCATTCCTTCCATGTAATCAGTCATTGCAGTAGCATTCTTCATTACATCTATCATTCAATTCATTCATTCATTCCATTCATCAGTCATTCATATCATCAAGTCATTCATCAGTTCATTCATTCATCATTCAATAGATTAATCTCATCAGTCATTCATCATGCATTCATTCATCCATACATCAGTTCATCATGCATGCATTCATTCATGCATTCATTCATCGATTCATCATCATTCATTCAATCCATCAGTCATTCATTCAAGTCAGCCAATTCATCATCATGCATTCATTCATTCATTCCATCATCCAGTCCATGCAGTCTTTCTAGCATTCATGTCATCACTCATCATTCATTCATTCTTTCATCATTCATTCATTCATGCTATTCATCATTCTTCATTCATCCATTCAATTCATTCCTCATGTTCATCACTCAGCATTCACATCATTCATTCATTCATGTCATTCATCCATTCATTCAATTCATTACATTCATCAGTCATTCATTCTATCATCAGTAATACAATTCATCATTCATTCATCATTCATTCATCATTCATCATTCATTCAGCATTCATTAATGCATCCATTCTACATTCATTACATTCATCATTCATTCAATTCATTCATTCATTCTATCAATCATTCAGCAATCAGTGCATGCAGTGTTCATGACAGTCATCAGTCGGTTCATCAACGTCCGACATACAGCATCAACCTCATACCCACCCTGCCTAAACACCAGTGTATACGATCCTGAACAGTCCACTCCCCCTATCCCGCAGCAGTGAAAACCGCTACCTCCCGCTGGACGATCATCTGCTCTGCATTACAGCTTCATTCGGCCCCCATCTCCTGCAACCAACCTAGACGCGACTCCAACGCTCAGCGACGCCCATCAGGAGCAATGAGGCAGCAGCTGAATAACCTTCAATACGGTCTTGCTGCCGCCTGCAAAGCTCCTCTGGCGACTCCAGCACCTCTGGGAATCCTGCTCCTCTGGGAGATCCTGCTCCTCTGGGAGAAACAACCGCTCACAGGGAGTATCCTTCTGCCTCTAGGGATATCCTGCTTCCTCAGCAGATCCTGCTCCACTGGGAGAACCGCTCCTCTGGGAGAACCTGGCTCCCTCTTGGGAGAACCTGCTCTCTGGGAGAACATGCTCCTCTGGGAGTGAACCTGTCTCCTCTGGAGATCCTTCACCTCTGGGAGAACAAGCTCCTCTGGGAGAACCTGCTCCTCTGGAGAACCCTGCTCCTCAGAGGGGGAAGAAACATGCTCCTCAGGGCATAACATGCTCCTCTGGGAGAACCTGCTCGCTCTGGGAGATCCTGCACCTCTGGGGAGATCCTGCTCCTCTGGTAGAACATGCTCCTCTGAGAGAACCAGCTCCTCTGGGAGATCCTGCTCCTCTGGGAGAACATGCTCCTCTGGGAGAACATGCTCCTCAGGCAGAACATGCTCCTCTGGGAGAACCTGCTCCTCTGGGAGAACCTGCTCCTCTGGGAGATCCTGCTCCTCTGGGAGATCCTGCTCCTCTGGGAGAACATGCTCCTCTGGGAGAACCTGCTCCTCTGGGAGATCCTGCTCCTCTGGGAGAACATGCTCCTCTGGGAGAACATGCTCCTCAGGGAGAACATGCTCCTCTGGGAGATCCTGCTCCTCTGGGAGATCCTGCTCCTCTGGGAGAACATGCTCCTCTGGGAGAACCTGCTCCTCTGGGAGATCCTGCTCCTCTGGGAGAACCTGCTCCTCTGGGAGAACATGCTCCTCAGGCAGAACATGCTCCTCTGGGAGAACCTGCTCCTCTGGGAGAACCTGCTCCTCTGGGAGATCCTGCTCCTCTGGGAGATCCTGCTCCTCTGGGAGAACATGCTCCTCTGGGAGAACCTGCTCCTCTGGGAGATCCTGCTCCTCTGGGAGAACATGCTCCTCTGGGAGAACATGCTCCTCAGGGAGAACATGCTCCTCAGGGAGATCCTGCTCCTCAGGGAGAACCTGCTCCTCTGGGAGAACCTGCTCCTCTGGGAGAACCTGCTCCTCTGGGAGATCCTGCTCCTCTGGGAGATCCTGCTCCTCAGGGAGAACATGCTCCTCTGGGAGAACATGCTCCTCTGGGAGAACATGCTCCTCAGGGAGAACCTGCTCCTCAGGGAGAACCTGCTCCTCTGGGAGATCCTGCTCCTCTGGGAGAACCTGCTCCTCTGGGAGAACCTGCTCCTCGGGGAGATCCTGCTCCTCTGGGAGAACCTGCTCCTCTGGGAGAACATGCTCCTCTGGGAGAACATGCTCCTCTGGGAGAACATGCTCCTCTGGGAGATCCTGCTCCTCAGGGAGAACCTGCTCCTCAGGGAGAACCTGCTCCTCTGGGAGATCCTGCTCCTCTGGGAGAACCTGCTCCTCTGGGAGAACCTGCTCCTCGGGGAGATCCTGCTCCTCTGGGAGATCCTGCTCCTCTGGGAGAACCTGCTCCTCGGGGAGAACCTGCTCCTCTGGGAGATCCTGCTCCTTAGGGAGAACATGCTCCTCAGGGAGAACATGCTCCTCAGGGAGAACCTGCTCCTCTGGGAGATCCTGCTCCTCTGGGAGATCCTGCTCCTCTGGGAGAACCTGCTCCTCTGGGAGAACCTGCTCCTCTGGGAGAACCTGCTCCTCTGGGAGAACCTGCTCCTCTGGGAGATCCTGCTCCTCTGGGAGAACCTGCTCCTCGGGGAGAACCTGCTCCTCGGGGAGAACCTGCTCCTCTGGGAGAACCTGCTCCTCTGGGAGAACCTGCTCCTCGGGGAGATCCTGCTCCTCGGGGAGATCCTGCTCCTCTGGGAGAACATGCTCCTCAGGGAGAACATGCTGCTCTGGGAGAACCTGCTCCTCTGGGAGAACCTGCTCCTCTGGGAGAACCTGCTCCTCTGGGAGATCCTGCTCCTCTGGGAGAACATGCTCCTCAGGGAGAACATGCTCCTCTGGGAGATCCTGCTCCTCTGGGAGAACATGCTCCTCTGGGAGATCCTGCTCCTCAGGGAGAACCTGCTCCTCTGGGAGAACCTGCTCCTCTGGGAGATCCTGCTCCTCTGGGAGAACCTGCTCCTCTGGGAGAACCTGCTCCTCAGGGAGAACATGCTCCTCTGGGAGATCCTGCTCCTCTGGGAGAACATGCTCCTCAGGGAGAACATGCTCCTCTGGGAGATCCTGCTCCTCAGGGAGAACCTGCTCCTCTGGGAGAACATGCTCCTCTGGGAGATCCTGCTCCTCTGGGAGATCCTGCTCCTCTGGGAGAACCTGCTCCTCTGGGAGAACCTGCTCCTCAGGGAGAACATGCTCCTCTGGGAGATCCTGCTCCTCTGGGAGAACATGCTCCTCAGGGAGAACATGCTCCTCTGGGAGATCCTGCTCCTCTGGGAGATCCTGCTCCTCGGGGAGAACCTGCTCCTCGGGGAGAACCTGCTCCTCTGGGAGATCCTGCTCCTCTGGGAGATCCTGCTCCTCTGGGAGATCCTGCTCCTCTGGGAGAACATGCTCCTCAGGGAGAACATGCTCCTCTGGGAGATCCTGCTCCTCTGGGAGATCCTGCTCCTCAGGGAGAACATGCTCCTCTGGGAGATCCTGCTCCTCTGGGAGAACATGCTCCTCAGGGAGAACCTGCTCCTCTGGGAGAACATGCTCCTCTGGGAGATCCTGCTCCTCTGGGAGATCCTGCTCCTCTGGGAGATCCTGCTCCTCGGGGAGAACCTGCTCCTCGGGGAGAACCTGCTCCTCTGGGAGATCCTGCTCCTCTGGGAGATCCTGCTCCTCTGGGAGATCCTGCTCCTCGGGGAGAACCTGCTCCTCGGGGAGAACCTGCTCCTCTGGGAGATCCTGCTCCTCTGGGAGATCCTGCTCCTCTGGGAGAACCTGCTCCTCTGGGAGAACCATCCTCACCTCCCTCAGTGTCGTCAGGGTCTCCTTGTCGATGGTGGCCTGCTTCTGCAGCTCCTTGTTGTCTCGCTCCAGTTCCTTGGCTCTGACCGACGCCTCCTTCAGTCTCTCCAGCTCCTTCCTCAGGGCCGCCGCCTCCTTCATGGACTCGGAGGCGCGTCTCCATTTCTCCTCCAGCTCGGTCTCCTTGGCCTCCAGCAGGGTTCGGATCCTCAAGTTCTCCTTCTCCAGCTTCTTGCGGTTCTCCTCAGACTGCTCCAGATCCAGCTGGAGCTTCTTCCTCTCCTCATCTCCCTCTTCTCTTCTCTTGCGCTCCTCTTTCAGCTCCTCCAGCTCCCGGCTCAGCTCCTCCTCCCTGCTTTGAGTCTTTCTGATCTTGGTGTCCAGCTCCTGCTTCTCCTCCCGGCTCCTCTCCAGCTCCTCCTTTAGGTGGCATTTCTCCTGGTTCACAACAGACAGGTTCTGCTCCAGCCGTTCTGCTCTCTTCCTCTCTCCCTGCGCCTCCTCCATGGCCGCCTCCAGCCTCCGCTGCGTTTCTTGCGCCTCTCTCTGCGCCTCCTCCAGCTCCTCCTGCAGTAAGGGCAGGCGGGCGGATGAGGAGCGCAGGCTTTCTACGGAACGACGGAGCTCCAGGTTCTCCTTTGACAGCAGCCCATTTTCTGCCTCCTGCTTAGCCAGCCGCTGCAGCTCCTTCTGGGCCTCCTCAGCCTCCCGCTTCAGTCTGAGCACCTCCTGCTCCAGGGAGGTCAGCTGCCTCTCCAGAGTTTCGGAGCGCTCACTGCAGAGACGAAGCGACGCCACCTGGAGGCCGAGCAGGAAGATGAAGAGGAGGCGTTCTGTCTGGGAACCCTGAGGAACCTGGACCTTCTGCTTACCTCCATGTTCAGAGCCTCCCTGCTCCTCTCCAGACGGCTCAGCTCCCTCTCTGCCTCCTCGCAGCGTGCCGAGCGCTCCCTCAGCCTCTCCGCCTCCTCGCTCACCACCTTCAGCTGTGTTTCCAGACTGGCCATCCGGGAGCTGGTGTCAGTGATGCTCTGGTGGAGGAGGCGGTTCTGGGCCTCCACCTCACGGACGCGGGCCTCGCTGTTGGACTGAGCGCGCTCCTGCAGGAGGCGCACCGCCTCCGACAGGTGCTGCCTCTCGCTCTCCAGCTCGGAGATCTGTGGAGCAGAGAATCAGCGGGTCTAGGAGGCGCAAAAGGAAGGAGGGACTGAGCGTTCTCCACCAAGCGTACCTGACGATCCTTGTCAGCCCGCAGAGCGTGCATCTCTCGCTCCAGACCCTGTTTCTCCTTCAGAAGCTCCTCCCCCAGAGCCTCCATGTCCTGATTGGTCAGTCGCTCCTGGTCCAGTAATGCTTGAAGACGCTCCACCTGGGAATGACAGAGACCAGAACCATCTAGGACAGTTCTGCTCCTGTTCCACTGGATCAAAGGTGTTCCTCCTCACCTTGCTGCTTAGACTCTGGTTCTCCCGCCCCAGTTCCTGTTTGTGGAGCTGCTGCTCCTGCAGGAGGTGGTTCTCCTCCTTCAGTACGTCCATCGACGCCTGCAGCTCCCGGTTCTCCTTCTCCAGCTTCAGGACTCGACTGGAAACGCACTCGTGGAGCTCGTGGACCAGAGATTTCCGACCTGCAGAGCAGAGAGGATAGCTGGTTGGAGCAGAACCGGTCAGAGGAGCAGGAGGCGCAGCAGGAGGAGCAGCAGGAGGTGCGCTCAGAGCCATACTGTCAGTGTTGGTGGTGCCGTCGTGATTCCTGGTGAGCTGCTCCAGCTCCCAGCCCAGATGGGCCGACTCGTTCATGCTTTGCTTCTGACCGATCTCCAGCAGCATGTTCTCCTCCACCAGCTCCTCCAGCCTCCGACGCTCGCCGTCCCGCTCCTGCAGAACACAGACAGGTTGGAGGAGCTTCTCCTCATGGTCCTCGGCTCCATTGACAGGCGGGGACATCGGAACCGGCCCCTAGGGACGGCTCAGGTCACCTGGACCGTTGCTAAGGACCATCTTACCATCTCCAGGTCGTGGATTTTGGCTCGCAGCAGCAGGTTGTCTTTCTCCAGCGTGTGCATCTTGTCACAGCGCCCCCTGGCGGCGGCCAGCTGCTCCTCCAGCAACACCTTGGTCTCCAGCAGCGTCGTGTTGTCCTCACGCAACTCCTGAACATCATAGAGGGACATGATGGTTCTGAGGAGGTTCTACTGCAGGTGCAACCAATTAAAAATCAGCGGGTCCGAAAAAAGAAAATTATCAATCAGGAAAGGTCCGGAGACATTTTTAATGATTTGTTACTATTAAATGAATTTAACACTGAAATAAAATGAGCTGTTTATGCATCCATGTTATACACTGAATTTGTAAATAAAAAAAAAAATTACATTAAAAAAAGGAAAATTTTAAAATCTAAAGTGTTTTTTTTAATAGAGATCAACAATCGTTCAGTTTGGTTTATAGATAATTTCCACATATTTTCTCAAACCCCTGAACTGATGGTTTGTTATTTCCTTTCTTGTTTCTGTCTTAATGTTGGCAGTGGGCTTTAGGCTGCCCTGCAAGGCTTTAAACCTGGGTTTAACCAGAGACTAAGCCATTCTCAAGCACATATCAAGGAGCTCATTTTGAGCCTGGATCCAGATTTATTGTTGATTCTGTTCATGGTGGAGAATCCTGCTTCACAGCAGCAGGTTGAGCCAAACATCCTCTAAATGTGCAGGCTCCGCTCCGGTCCGGCCAGGTCCGGATCCACTTTGCAATCGCACCAAACAGGAGAAAGATCGGCGAGAAGATCCGGTTTGTCAAATTAAAATATAGTAACAACAGATCAGCAACTACAAATCAGAGCATAATTCTTCTATATTTCAAAAATCTAACAGTGTTTATTTCAAAGATTGGATAAAAGCTATTGGTTCTTAAACAGACCAGAAACTGAACATCTGCTGGAGGCAGATGGGGATTATTTTAATCTGCCAGATTAAATTAAGCGTTAATTTCTGCATGTTTTGCTCCTATGAATTTAATAATAATATGGCGCATGCTCTCCTCGAGCTCCGAGGATCAGTCGGAGCGCAGCGATACGGGAGGAACAGCGGAGGCTGCAGGCTTTGCTTTGAGCAGGAGGTCAGCAGCACTGCGCGGCGCTGTGAGGAGGAGATGGAGGATGTGGGATTTCTGGGTAACAAGAGAAGCGGAGCAAGTGACGTTAAGACACCATCATCAGGCAAATGTTTTAAATCAGGTTGGTTAGCCAGCAGGTGGATCCGGACCGCGGTCCTCTAATCTGTGACTTCTGGTCTACAGAGTCCTGAGCGGTTCTGAGGAGTTCTAAATAGTTTTATTTATATATATATAAATATATATGTGTGTGTGTGTTTACATACATACAAGAGTCATGGAACTCTGCACACTAATAACTTGTGTACATGCTTCTTGTTGATGGCATTAAAATAATTTCTAATAGCGGTGGATGTGGAACAACTCTCACCGATTTACATGAAAGATAAACGCTCCACACGACGTATGTCAGAGGGGCGGAGCGGCGACGTACGTCAGCGGGGCGGAGCGGCGACGTACGTCAGCGGGGCGGAGCGGCGACGTACGTCAGCGGGGCGGAGCGGCGACGTACGTCAGCGGGGCGGAGCGGCGACGTATGTCAGCGGGGCGGAGCGCCGACACAGCATGTGGATTCCGGGGGTAACCATCACATAAAACAACATCAGACCTTTGGAGTCAACAGTTACTTCAATCAGTTTGGTTCCGGTGAGACTCAGCCTCTCAGGTCTGAAACTGACCGACCAATCACAGTCTGGGAGCTTTGATTATGTAGGAAAACATGGAGGAACTTCAGCCTCTTTCCCACTGAGAACAGCAGCTTAACGCGGGATTTTCTATCATTGATCAACCTGCTAACAATCAGCATCTGACTCTCTTCCCATTGGCTATAAAAGCTGGTCTAACCACTCACTAGTGTGGCGTGTCTAGTGACGACATCACGGTGGGTTGGCGTTGATGATGTCACCAGTTTGACAGAAATCAGGGAAGTAAACAATGGAGAGCACCATGTCAGGAAGCCAAGGCGTAGTCAGTGAGCTTTATTGTTTCTATTATCTGCCTGACTCCCTCTCCCCAGAGCTGCTCAGAAAAGTTCTCCACTGTGAGATAGATCAATCAATCAATCAATCAATCAATCAATCAATCAATCAATCAATCAGCAGGAAAGGGTTAAAAGTCTCTGTGCTGCCTGGAGCGCCTCAGGCCTCCTCCAGCAGAGTCTGGGATCTGCTGAGGCTGCTGCCCTTTGACCCCGATAAGAGAAAGACCATGAGTACGTAATATATATCTATAAATAAATCACTAGATAAGTCAAATATACCTTCATATAAATATATATTCGAACAACTCCTAAAATGTATTTATATAAATATATATTGAAACATAGGAATTTAATAATTAGATCTTAAGATTATCTATTTAACTTTATTATCTATTTAACATTGAATAAACTCTATCTTGATCTTTATAGTTTTCTCCGTGTTCCTGGTTGTGGGTGGGCGGGGTTCCATAGATGGCGGCCTGTTGGTGTGAGCCGTACGTACGGTCGGTCCTGATCCAACCATTCCTGCCCGGCTGTAGAACCTGGGATCAGGGGTCGGTTCAGAGACATTCCCATGAGCCTCACCTCCACCCTGCTCTTGTAGAAGTGGACGTCGTTCAGCTTCTCTCTGAATCTGTTCAGCTCAGCCTCCAGGCGATCTCCTCGAGCCGCTCGCTCCCGCAGAGAGTCCACCTCGTCCCGGTACAGGCGGACCGACCGCGCCTCGCACGACAGAGCCTGGTTCTGGACCACAGACACACCGATAAGCAGAACTGGAGGATCAGAGTCTGAAGAACATCAGAAGAAGGTCAGACCTCTTGTTTGAGTTTCTGCAGCTCCTGATCCAGACGCTCCGCCTCGTGTTTTGAATCCATCAGTTGTTCCGTTTTCTCCTCCCTGCAGACATGAAAACATTCAGAAGGAGCTGATCCAAACTGGTCCCGCCTCTAAAACCCAACCAAATTCTATCAGACTCCGAGTTCCATCTGATCCCAGTTACCCAGCAATAGAGTCTAGTTCTGTTCTTCCCTCCAACTGGTTCTGATGGGAGAACCCTGGAGGTGAGGTGGAGGAGCAGACTGGAGGCCGACAATTTAATCAGCGTCTGGATCCTAAATCGACTTCGGCCAAAATGCGGCCGGTATAAAAGCTGAAAGAAACTTTAGCTATCCGTCCTGATTCTGCTCCTCTGCCCCGCCCTTCCTGAGCTTCCTCTGCCCCGCCCTTCCTGAGCTTCCTCTGCCCCGCCCTTCCTGAGCTTCCTCTGCTCCGTCCTTCCTGAGCTTCCTCTGCCCCGCCCTTCCTGAGCTTCCTCTGCTCCGCCCTTCCTGAGCTTCCTCTGCCCCGCCCTTCCTGAGTTTCCTCTGCCCCGCCCTTCCTGAGCTTCCTCTGCCCCGCCCTTCCTGAGCTTCCTCTGCTCCGCCCTTCCTGAGCTTCCTCTGCCCCGCCCTTCCTGAGCTTCCTCTGCCCCGCCCTTCCTGAGCTTCCTCTGCCCCGCCCTTCCTGAGCTTCCTCTGCCCCGCCCTTCCTGAGCTTCCTCTGCCCCGCCCTTCCTGAGCTTCCTCTGCCCCGCCCTTCCTGAGCTTCCTCTGCCCCGCCCTTCCTGAGCTTCCTCTGCCCCGCCCTTCCTGAGCTTCCTCTGCCCCGCCCTTCCTGAGCTTCCTCTGCCCCGCCCTTCCTGAGCTTCCTCTGCCCCGCCCTTCCTGAGCTTCCTCTGCCCCGCCCTTCCTGAGCTTCCTACGCCCCGCCCTTCCTGAGCTTCCTACGCCCCGCCCTTCCTGAGCTTCCTCTGCCCCGCCCTTCCTGAGCTTCCTCTGCCCCGCCCTTCCTGAGCTTCCTCTGCCCCGCCCTTCCTGAGCTTCCTCTGCCCCGCCCTTCCTGAGCTTCCTCTGCCCCGCCCTTCCTGAGCTTCCTCTGCCCCGCCCTTCCTGAGCTTCCTCTGCCCCGCCCTTCCTGAGCTTCCTCTGCCCCGCCCTTCCTGAGCTTCCTCTGCCCCGCCCTTCCTGAGCTTCCTCTGCCCCGCCCTTCCTGAGCTTCCTCTGCCCCGCCCTTCCTGAGCTTCCTCTGCCCCGCCCTTCCTGAGCTTCCTCTGCTCCGTCCTTCCTGGGCTTCCTCTGCTCCGTCCTTCCTGAGTTTCCTCTGCCCCGCCCTTCCTGAGCTTCCTCTGCCCCGCCCTTCCTGAGCTTCCTCTGCCCCGCCCTTCCTGAGCTTCCTCTGCCCCGCCCTTCCTGAGCTTCCTCTGCCCCGCCCTTCCTGAGCTTCCTCTGCCCCGCCCTTCCTGAGCTTCCTCTGCTCCGTCCTTCCTGGGCTTCATCTGCTCCGTCCTTCTTGAGTACTGAGCTTCCTCTGCTCCGCCCTCCCTTGCTAGCTGCTATTAGCGTTAGCATGGAGGTGGATGGAGAGGGAGAAAGTGAGCAGCTTACTCTGTGGTTAGCTGTCATATGAAGTGTTTCCATGAAACACGCTGTTAGGGCGCATTAAGGCGTGCAGAGGAGTTTTATTTGCGCAGGTTTAGGCTAACATATTAGCATTAGCAAGATACTTTTAGAAGAAAAATATGATTATTCTATTGATTCCATTACTCTTCCTACTGACATGCAGGCTGCACCGGAGCTTCATGTTTTCATTGAACTGATTTCTAAAAGGCTAAAACTTCCCTATTTAATTTAATCTGTGGTTTTAAAGCTGCAGCTTTGCTCCTTTAGCCATTAGACAGGCTGTTTTCACATGAATGCAGACACTGGTTTCCTTTTTAATGCTCATCTGTTGAAGTGAAATCTACTAATCAAAAGAAACCAAATGGATTTAGATTCATTTCTCAGGCAGAGGCGAACGGTGAGGTGCAGAGCCGCTTATGGAGGATGTTTGGCCATGGCGGCAGCAATGAGCACAAACATAAATCGGACCTGGTTCTGGAGCGGCCAAAGCAGGCAGAACTTCTGCAGTGGCCTGGCTAAACCTCAGAGGTTCTGACAGGAAGACAAGCCGGTCAGCCAGGCTTCCAGAGTAGGATCAGTAGACAGCAGCAGGTCTCTGACTGCTGCAGGAGGTCCTGGAACAAAAACTGAATAAAGAGCTCACTGCTACAGGCAGAGACCCTATGGAGCTGCTGCTAATCCTGAACAGTCGGCAGTCGGTGTGAGAAAAAAATCAGTTTTATCAGAATCAGACAGCAGCTGGAGGTAAGATGGAGGCATGGTGACCTCCAGCAGGAGATATGGCAGGACACCTGCAGCAATCAGTGTGGGAGGGATTTACGGGCAGGAACTCAACATGAAATTAGCTAAAAATAAGCTGAGCAAGAGCGCAATGTGAGCTAAACACTAGCTAATCATTATCAGAACATTAGCGAATAATTAGCTGAACATTAACTAATCATTATCGGAACATTAGCTAAACATGAGCTAATAATTAGCTGAACATTAGCTAATCATTATCGGAACATTAGCTAAACATGAGCTAATAATTAGCTGAACATTAGCTAATCATTATCGGAACATTAGCTAAACATGAGCTAATAATTAGCTGAACATTAGCTAATCATTATCAGAACATTAGCTAAACATGAGCTAATAATTAGCTGAACATTAGCTAATCATTATCGGAACATTAGCTAAACATGAGCTAATAATTAGCTGAACATTAGCTAATCATTATCGGAACATTAGCTAAACATGAGCTAATAATTAGCTGAACATTAGCTAATCATTATCGGAACATTAGCTAAACATGAGCTAATAATTAGCTGAACATTAGCTAATCATTATCGGAACATTAGCTAAACATGAGCTAATAATTAGCTGAACATTAGCTAATCATTATCGGAACATTAGCTAAACATGAGCTAATAATTAGCTGAACATTAGCTAATCATTATCGGAACATTAGCTAAACATGAGCTAATAATTAGCTGAACATTAGCTAATCATTATCGGAACATTAGCTAAACATGAGCTAATAATTAGCTGAACATTAGCTAATCATTATCAGAACATTAGCTAAACATGAGCTAATAATTAGCTGAACATTAGCTAATCATTATCGGAACATTAGCTAAACATGAGCTAATAATTAGCTGAACATTAGCTAATCATTATCGGAACATTAGCTAAACATGAGCTAATAATTAGCTGAACATTAGCTAATCATTATCGGAACATTAGCTAAACATGAGCTAATAATTAGCTGAACATTAGCTAATCATTATCGGAACATTAGCTAAACATGAGCTAATAATTAGCTGAACATTAGCTAATCATTATCGGAACATTAGCTAAACATGAGCTAATAATTAGCTGAACATTAGCTAATCATTATCGGAACATTAGCTAAACATGAGCTAATAATTAGCTGAACATTAGCTAATCATTATCGGAACATTAGCTAAACATGAGCTAATAATTAGCTGAACATTAGCTAATCATTATCGGAACATTAGCTAAACATGAGCTAATAATTAGCTGAACATTAGCTAATCATTATCAGAACATTAGCTAAACATGAGCTAATAATTAGCTGAACATTAGCTAATCATTATCGGAACATTAGCTAAACATGAGCTAATAATTAGCTGAACATTAGCTAATCATTATCGGAACATTAGCTAAACATGAGCTAATAATTAGCTGAACATTAGCTAATCATTATCGGAACATTAGCTAAACATGAGCTAATAATTAGCTGAACATTAGCTAATCATTATCGGAACATTAGCTAAACATGAGCTAATAATTAGCTGAACATTAGCTAATCATTATCGGAACATTAGCTAAACATGAGCTAATAATTAGCTGAACATTAGCTAATCATTATCAGAACATTAGCTAAACATGAGCTAATAATTAGCTGAACATTAGCTAATCATTATCGGAACATTAGCTAAACATGAGCTAATAATTAGCTGAACATTAGCTAATCATTATCGGAACATTAGCTAAACATGAGCTAATAATTAGCTGAACATTAGCTAATCATTATCGGAACATTAGCTAAACATGAGCTAATAATTAGCTGAACATTAGCTAATCATTATCGGAACATTAGCTAAACATGAGCTAATAATTAGCTGAACATTAGCTAATCATTATCGGAACATTAGCTAAACATGAGCTAATAATTAGCTGAACATTAGCTAATGATCAGGTAAACATCTGCTGGGCTTATTTGTCACTGGTAGACCATCAGCTTTTGGACCACGGCTGTTGTCCCCTCAGGTGGACTCACAGTTCCTGCCTGGTTCTTCGCAGTTTAGCCTTAGCATCGGCCAGCTCCACAGACAGATGCTGCTTCTCCTGTTTGGTCAGCTGGCTCCCAGACAAGCCTTCGTCCTTCAGAACGGAGTCTCCCTGGCCGCCCAGCTTCCTGGTTCCTTCTTGGGGCTGCAGACTGGACAGGTAGTCCCTCTCCTGGGTGAGGTCCAAGATTACCTGGAGGACAGGGTGGAGTTTCTGCTTTAGACTCGGCTCAGACAGAGGGCAACGGGACCGGATCTAAACGTCTTCCAACCTCAGTAGCTTTGTCTCGCTGATCGATGAGTTGCCGTAGTGACGCCGCCATGTTCCGGGACAGCGGCTCCAGCTCCTCAGGGACCAGCTGGGCTCCGTCCTCCACCCAGGAGAGGTCCAGGACATTCTGCTGGTTGTGTGTGACCTGAAACAAACAGAATCAGACATTTCTCCTCTCATCCTGTCAGGAAGTAGGACTCTGGTGTCCGAGGACGACGGTCATCAGAACAACTTTTACCATTTTAGAAACCTGGAACTGGTTCCTTACTGGACCCAATCCCAGTTTGGGATTATTTTTTGCTTTAGATAACATTGGATTTCTCTGAAACTAAAGTTTATAGGAGCTGCAGATGTTCCACAGACCTCCTGAATGTGAGTAACAATGGCCGCCTGGGTCTCGATGTCCAGCAGCTTGATCTTCTCGATCATCTCCTCCTTCCGCTCACACTGAGGACAGACAGAGAACATAGCAGAAGAAATCCTCAACCTTTATTGTTTCAGAGACGATTAACGGCAGAAATACGTCATTGGTTGCTATGGTGATTTAGGTGGTTTAATCTGACTGATGGTCGTTATTTAGTGGACCGTTGGTCTGGACCACTGTGTCGGTATGAAAGGTTACAGAATCTTCTGCTTTGTCCACCTGGGGGTTTTGCTGTGTGGCTCCTCAGGGGTCAGTTCTAGGGGCCCTTCATTCCGTCTGGTTTTATTACCCCCCCCCTGGAATCAGAGCTTCAGCTGCTGCTGATGGCAGCAGGAGGTCTGATCCTAGAGTCAAAGTACCAACAGGCTGCGGTTTAGGAGAAATAAGCTTCAGAAGTTTGTTTAACAAATTCCTGTGGGACAAAGACCGATTCTTTAGAAATCAGCACCCCCCCCCCCCCCCCCCCCCCCCCCCCCCCCCCCCGCCTCCCTCTTCCTGAAACCAGTCAGACCGGGCCCAGACACAGAGGGACGAAGCGGGGGAGAAGTTGGGATGGAAGCAGGGAATCAGCTATAAACACAGAGCTGAATGGAGCTGCCCCACCTCCACATGCTCAGGTTACAGCCAGAACGATCGGGTTTCAGTAAGCCCCGCCCCCTGACCTCGCCATGCCGGCCTGTTTGAGCTCCTACCTGGACGGCGCAGCCCAGGATTAGCAGCAGCAGGTTCTTCAGCTCCTCCATGCTTCTCACTGTGGAAACAAAGCAGTAAGTTAGTGTGAACAGCAGGGGGCGCTGCAGCTGCCGTTTGGTGGTCCTGGACCAGTCGGTACTGCCCCCACCACCCAGAACACCAGTTCTCAGAGTCCATTTTTGACTAGAACCCAGGAAAGTCTGGACTCGGGGAGAACGGGAGCACAAAGGATAAATCTGGGTCGACTGGAACAGAAGCGAACTGATGACATCACCACATTCTAGCGGGTTGGGGGTGGGGGGGGGAGTGTTGTGGAGGGTCTGGATCACGGGGGGACTGGATGGGGGGGACTGGATCACGGGGGGACTGGAACAGGGGGACTGGATCAGGGGGACTGGAACAGGGGGACTGGAACAGGGGGACTGGATCAGGGGGACTGGATCAGGGGGACTGGATCAGGGGGACTGGAACAGGGGGACTGGATCAGGGGGACTGGAACAGGGGGACTGGATGGGGGGGACTGGATCACGGGGGGGACTGGAACAGGGGGACTGGATGGGGGGGACTGGATGGGGGGGACTGGATCACGGGGGGACTGGATCAGGGGGACTGGAACAGGGGGACTGGATCAGGGGGACTGGATCAGGGGGACTGGAACAGGGAGACTGGATCAGGGGGACTGGATGGGGGGGACTGGATCAGGGGGACTGGATCAGGGGGACTGGAACAGGGGGACTGGATGGGGGGGACTGGATGGGGGGGACTGGATCAGGGGGACTGGATCAGGGGGACTGGATCAGGGGGACTGGAACAGGGGGACTGGATCAGGGGGACTGGATCAGGGGGACTGGATCAGGGGGACTGGAACAGGGGGACTGGATCAGGGGGACTGGATGGGGGGGACTGGATGGGGGGGACTGGATCACGGGGGGACTGGATCAGGGGGACTGGAACAGGGGGACTGGATGGGGGGGACTGGATGGGGGGGACTGGATCACGGGGGGACTGGATCAGGGGGACTGGATCAGGGGGACTGGAACAGGGGGACTGGATGGGGGGGACTGGATGGGGGGGACTGGATCACGGGGGGACTGGATCAGGGGGACTGGAACAGGGGGACTGGATGGGGGGGACTGGATGGGGGGGACTGGATCACGGGGGGACTGGATCAGGGGGACTGGATCAGGGGGACTGGAACAGGGGGACTGGAACAGGGGGACTGGATCAGGGGGACTGGATCAGGGGGACTGGATCAGGGGGACTGGAACAGGGGGACTGGATCAGGGGGACTGGAACAGGGGGACTGGATGGGGGGGACTGGATCACGGGGGGACTGGAACAGGGGGACTGGATGGGGGGGACTGGATGGGGGGGACTGGATCACGGGGGGACTGGATCAGGGGGACTGGAACAGGGGGACTGGATCAGGGGGACTGGATCAGGGGGACTGGAACAGGGAGACTGGATCAGGGGGACTGGATGGGGGGGACTGGATAAGGGGGACTGGATCAGGGGGACTGGAACAGGGGGACTGGATGGGGGGGACTGGATCACGGGGGGACTGGAACAGGGGGACTGGATCAGGGGGACTGGATCAGGGGGACTGGAACAGGGAGACTGGATGGGGGGGACTGGATCACGGGGGGACTGGAACAGGGGGACTGGATCAGGGGGACTGGAACAGGGGGACTGGATGGGGGGGACTGGATCACGGGGGGACTGGATCAGGGGGACTGGAACAGGGGGACTGGATCAGGGGGACTGGATCAGGGGGACTGGAACAGGGAGACTGGATGAGGGGGACTGGATGGGGGGGACTGGATGGGGGGGACTGGATCACGGGGGGACTGGATCAGGGGGACTGGAACAGGGGGACTGGATGGGGGGGACTGGATGGGGGGGACTGGATCACGGGGGGACTGGATCAGGGGGACTGGAACAGGGGGACTGGATCAGGGGGACTGGATCAGGGGGACTGGAACAGGGAGACTGGATCAGGGGGACTGGATGGGGGGGACTGGATCAGGGGGACTGGAACAGGGGGACTGGATCAGAACTGAACCAGTTCCAGGTCTTCATTGAGGGCTGCTTAAGCAGAACCAGGCGGTGCTGCTCTCAGAGGTTCTACTCCATCACTGACAGAACCGATCGGGTCAGAGCCAAAACCAGAGTCCAGAACTTTCAGTGAAGTGGAGGAAGGTTCTGGTACCGGTACCTGATATGGGGTCCTTGGCGATGTGGAGGATGTTGGGGAGGGGCATCAGGACCAGCTGCTGCAGCGCCTCCTGCAGGAGAGACAGACAGGAGGAAGAGGAGCAGCGTTAGGGATGAGCCTTCATCATCATCATCATCATCGTCCTCGGCCTGTGGCTCAGAGGGAAGAGGAACCAACTGGACTGAGATCCTGGTTCTGACCCGGCAGCCAACAGGAAACAGAGACAAAGGCAGCTGGGAGGGAATACTTTCCATTCCTGAACATCCGCCCCCGTTTCCCAAACAGCAGATAGAACTAACGGAGCTCAGGCTTAGAGGGAGGATGAGGCAGGAGGAGCCCAGCAGGAGGGAGGGGGTCACAGTAGGACCTCCAGAACCACCACATTAAGGGTTAGCCTCTGCTGCTCAGCAACATGAAGGACCTCTAAGTAGAGCTGCAGGAGGTAGAGTTACAGCCTGCCGTAAACAAAGGAGCAACACGACTCTCGCCTCCACCCACCCACAGACACGCCACAGTGAATAAAACATGGAGCTGCCAGCAGGACACCGCACAGACAACTCCAGTAGCTCCGCCCCCCAGCTTTCATCGCCTGCTGAGACTCTGCTGCTCGGCAGAAAAAGTTTCCCTTCCAGCTCACAAACTTTAACAGAAAAAAGTACGAATTATGGGTCAGACAGTCAGTGCGTCACCATGCAACCCAACATCCCAGTCAAGATGGAGGCTACCGTCATCGACCGTGGAAAACAGCGCTCAGCTACAGGCAGACAGCATGCTAAAAGCTAACAGCGCACTACAGGCAAACAGCATGCTAAAAGCTAACAGCGCACTACAGGCAAACAGCATGCTAATAGCTAACAGCGCCCTATGGAAAGACAGCATGCTAAAAGCTAACAGCGCTTTACGGACAGACAGCATGCTAAAAGCTAACAGCGCGCTACAAACAGAAAGCATGGTAAAAGCTAACAGCGCCCTACGGACAGACAGCATGCTAAAAGGTAACAGCGCCCTACGGAAAGACGGCATGCTAAAAGCTAACAGCGCCGTATGGACAGACAGCATGCTAAAAGCTAACAGCGCCTTACGGACAGACAGCATCCTAAAAGCTAACAGCACCCTATGGACAGACAGCATGCTAAAAGCTAACAGCGCGCTACAAACAGAAAGCATGCTAAAAGCTAACAGCACCCTATGGACAGACAGCATGCTAAAAGCTAACAGCACCCTATGGACAGACAGCATGCTAAAAGCTAACAGCGCCCTACGGACAGACAGCATGCTAAAAGGTAACAGCGCCCTACGGACAGACAGCATGCTAAAAGCTAACAGCACCCTATGGACAGACAGCATGCTAAAAGCTAACAGCACCCTATGGACAGACAGCATGCTAAAAGCTAACAGCGCCCTATGGACAGACACCATGCTAAAAGCTATCAGCGCCCTACGGACAGACAGCATGCTAAAAGCTAACAGCACCCTATGGACAGACAGCATGCTAAAAGCTAACAGCACCCTATGGACAGACAGCATGCTAAAAGCTAAGAGCACCCTATGGACAGACAGCATGCTAAAAGCTAACAGCGCCCTACGGACAGACAGCATGCTAAAAGGTAACAGCGCCCTACGGAAAGACGGCATGCTAAAAGCTAACAGCGCCGTATGGACAGACAGCATGCTAAAAGCTAACAGTGCCTTACGGACAGACAGCATCCTAAAAGCTAACAGCGCGCTACAAACAGAAAGCATGGTAAAAGCTAACAGCTCCCTACGGACAGACAGCATGCTAAAAGCTAACAGCTCCCTACGGACAGACAGCATGCTAAAAGCTAACAGCACCCTAAGGACAGACAGCATGCTAAAAGCTAACAGCACCCTATGGACAGACAGCATGCTAAAAGCTAACAGTGCCTTACGGACAGACAGCATCCTAAAAGCTAACAGCGCGCTACAAACAGAAAGCATGCTAAAAGCTAACAGCTCCCTACGGACAGACAGCATGCTAAAAGCTAACAGCTCCCTACGGACAGACAGCATGCTAAAAGCTAACAGCACCCTAAGGACAGACAGCATGCTAAAAGCTAACAGCACCCTATGGACAGACAGCATGCTAAAAGCTAACAGCACCCTATGGACAGACAGCATGCTAAAAGCTAACAGTGCTTTACGGACAGACAGCATGCTAAAAGCTAACAGCGCGCTACAAACAGAAAGCATGGCAAAAGCTAACAGCGCCCTACGGACAGACAGCATGCTAAAAGGTAACAGCGCCCTATGGAAAGACAGCATGCTAAAAGCTAACAGCGCGCTACAAACAGAAAGCATGGTAAAAGCTAACAGCGCCCTACGGACAGACAGCATGCTAAAAGGTAACAGCGCCCTATGGAAAGACAGCATGCTAAAAGCTAACAGCGCCCTACGGACAGACAGCATGCTAAAAGGTAACAGCGCCCTACGGAAAGACGGCATGCTAAAAGCTAACAGCACCCTATGGACAGACAGCATGCTAAAAGCTAACAGCGCCCTACGGACAGACAGCATGCTAAAAGGTAACAGCGCCCTACGGAAAGACGGCATGCTAAAAGCTAACAGCGCCGTATGGACAGACAGCATGCTAAAAGCTAACAGCGCCTTACGGACAGACAGCATCCTAAAAGCTAACAGCGCGCTACAAACAGAAAGCATGGTAAAAGCTAACAGTTCCCTACGGACAGACAGCATGCTAAAAGCTAACAGCTCCCTACGGACAGACAGCATGCTAAAAGGTAACAGCGCCCTACGGACAGACAGCATGCTAAAAGCTAACAGAGCCCTACGGACAGACAGCATGCTAAAAGGTAACAGCGCCCTACGGACAGACAGCATGCTAAAAGCTAACAGCGCCCTACGGACAGACAGCATGCTAAAAGCTAACAGCAACTTAAGGACAGACAGCATGGTAAAAGCTAACAGCGCGCTACAAACCGAAAGCATGCTAAAAGCTAACAGCACCCTATGGACAGACAGCATGGTAAAAGCTAACAGCGCGCTACAAACCGAAAGCATGCTAAAAGCTAACAGCACCCTATGGACAGACAGCATGCTAAAAGCTAACAGCACCCTATGGACAGACAGCATGCTAAAAGCTAACAGCGCGCTACAAACAGCTGATTGGCTGTGGAGGGAAACGGGTTCTGATGTCATCGTTTCTGCTGCCTTTGAAGCAGCAGCTTCAGGATGGGCTTGATCAGAACCAGAAGCTCCACTGTCTAAGTATGGGGGGGATTCAGGACTTTGTTTCCATGGCAACCAGGGAGCAGGAGGTGGGGTTCCTCGGATCCTCCTGAACCCAGAGGTTCCCAGTACCGGTCCGACCCGCTCACTGGTCCAGCCTACCAGGAGGGGGTAGCCTCCATGACCAGGACCTAGAGATCCGGTCTGATCCATGCATGGGGCCCTGATGAAGGAGCAGGGAGGTTCCTGAGATATCAGGTTACTCCGTTACTGGGGAGACTGGGAGCAGACCAGTCTGCTGGGACTCCAGCTAATTAGGAGCTGCAGCAGGTGCTGATCAGAACCTGCTGGGAAAGAGCTGCTCACCAGGAAGGAGCTCTCCTGTGGTTCTGTGGAACATTTCTCAAGGGTTCTGACCATTCACCATCAGCAGCACCACCACCATTTGCATTCCTGGGCTTCAGGTTCTGCAGCTCCCGTCCAACCGAGCGGGAGGCTCAGGTCAGGTTGGGTCAAAGGTCATGACCCTGAATCAGTCTCAAAGAAACCAAGATGGCTGCTGGACTGAGCTGCATCTGGACAGAGGAGACATCTTGGACCATGATGGATGAAAACCAAAGCCAAGGGATCAGAGCAAACAGCTCAGATGTGAAAACCGGCGGTGGAGGTATTATGCTGTGGGTTCTACCTTTAGACAAATGTGAGTCCATCTGTCCAAGGACCTTGCTCCAAACTGGGTCATCAACAGAACTAGGACCCAAACCCAGCAGCTCTACATAATGGCCTAGTCAAAGCCCAGACCTCGCTTCACCTCAAAGAATGGATCATTTTCCCGCCTCAGGTAACCACGGTTACCTGCTTCCTTACCTGGTAGTAGGTCTTGATGTGTCGGGTCAGAACCGTGAGGTTGTAAAGGCGCAGCGACACATCGTTGTTCACATTCTTGTTCAGCCTCTGATTGGTTGGGCTTGGGTCGCTATGGAGACAGAAACAAACAGAACAGGTTCTGGTTAGGGGTGTAAATAAAAATCATTTTGTATCGATCCATCGATCCAACAGCCAATGATAGCGACTCATGTTTTTCTTTCCTCCGGTCTATTTTTATCCATTTGCTCCTGGGCGTAATTCTCCTCCCGTGCTGCGGTGGCGCTAAACCTATTTTGCCCTCCTACCTCTCTTCCTGGTTATACTCTTACAGCAGTGTGTTGCAGTGAGCTTGACGCAGACTTTTTTGATTTATGCTTAATATTGAAGCATGGTCTGTTCTACACGCTGTGGGTCTAGATACGGCCGAGGCGGCGAGGAAGTGGGGGCGAGTTTAGTCCGACGACGGAGGGACATGAGGGCCAAAAAGAGCGGAGATCCAGGTGGAAAAAGGGTCCCAGCGTTCCCGCGCACCTCGCTCTTCTAGCGGGTCAAACTTCACGAGTTGTTTTCCGCACTTTCGGTCATAAAGACAAACCAAGCCGGCCTCCTGTCTGCGGTCAGCTACAATCTGGGAGAGGAGCAGCGGAGCGTCTGTGGGGGGGGGGGGCGTCTGGAGCTGAGGTATTGCATTGAACTCATTGCACTGATTTTCTGCAGTATTTATTAATGCAAGACCTTTCAGGATCTATAACGCAGGGGAGTTATTATTTTTCAGTGAATGAGGTTTTAATAGGAATAGGTGGAGTAAAACTTTTCTACTTCTGTTATTTGCTGTAGTTTCTCAAATAAAGTCCATTAACGATATTACAGCTTTCATTGATTTATTTCAAATCTGAAACATTTTCTAGCCTGTGAGGTAAAAAAAAAAATGAACTAATTAATCAAATCGTATCGTGGTGTATTCTTTAGAATCGAAAATAATGAAATCGTTGGGTCAGGAAATCGACACTGAATCGAATCGCCATGATGGGCGTGACTTAGAACCCTAGTTCTGGTTCAGTGAGACAAAGATCCACGGTTCCTGCCTGACCCAGTGCTAGGAATGAACTGAATAAAAGAACTGAATAATTGATCTAAATTAATGAACTGAATAATTATATTTCTTTTATTTATTTTATGATAATAATTTGTGAATAAATAAAGAAAAAGCTGTCATATGTGGATGTGCTGTATATACGGTATAGATCCCTGTATAGTTGTGTTTGCACGGCGCTGGTGAGCGGGACGGAGCGGTGAGGGAATCCCTGGTTCTGATTCTGGAATGATTTACCGACAGTCTGAGCAGTTTCCCATCTCCTCCATCCAGGAAGACCCCCCCACCCCCACCCCCCTCTAACCCACTTTCTCCTGTCGGCCCAGACTGAGCTTGGCTTTAAAAACAATGGCTGATTATCTTTGTTTCTGCAGACAATAGCAGATTGGAGGCGCGGGTTCGTCTGGAGGTCCAGGCTCAGAAGCTCCTTTCTAACAAAGGGTGGGGGGGCTGTGACCCTCTGCATGGCCAGAGCTCAGCAGGAACCCACTAGCACCACCTAGGATCTAACTAGGACTAACTAGGATCTAACTAGGACTAACTAGGATCTAACTAGGACTAACTAGGATCCAAGTTAGAGTGGCTCAGGTTATCCTGAGCTATCTCTATAGTTCTGCTGCTATAGGCTTAGACTGCTGGAGGACATAGGGACCCCTTTTTCATCATTCTGCTTCATTCTATCTCTGTATAGAACAGGCTCCGCCCTCGTTTGATATAAATGAAGAAAGAAAACCAGAATTAGCTTCAGCAGATATCAGGGATCGGCCTTAGGAGCCGGTGTCGATACCAGAACTGCTCAGGCCCGGCGCCTGTCAGTGACATCACACCATATGATTGGCTGAGCGTTGCCACGTCGACCAAAAAGATCCTGATTGCCCGAACAACTATAATAACATCAGGTAGCGTCTGTGTGCCGAGTCAGGAGCACCTGCAGTGTCTCTGTGTTAGCCCACGCTATAAGGGCTAGCACTGTGGCTATCTAACTGTAGCTAACGTTTCAGCTAACTATTTATTCCATTTCTTAGGAGTGGAATAAATGTTTTGTCTAAAATCTCCATGACAGTGGTTTTCTAAGATCTTCCCTTCGTCCTCTGCTGCTCTCAGATTAATAAGAATAAATAATGAATGTTTGAGCGTTGCCTAGCAACGTCTAACAGCAGAGCTCAGCCAGTCCTCGATGGTCTCTACTGTTGGTCGCTGGAGGAAACGTAAACGAGCTGAGACCCCTGATAAACGAACGCTGTACACGCGTTGTCATATTGTGATGTCATCAGCAGGGGCCCTGAGCTGACCTGGTACCGATACGGGCCCACCTCTGGGTGTTTCTGTTCGGCCTGGTTCTGGTTCCTGTAGATCGTGGTCCATCCCTCTGATGATCTCTGCAGCTCAGGATGTCAGACTGATCCAGGAACCAGGAGTTAAGCCCCGCCCCATACTCACATGTGGGTCATGATCTTGTGCAGGAAGACGCCGTCCACCAGCTCCATGTACATGCTGACCCGCTCCTCTGGACCCACGTCCTCACCTGGTCCCAAAGGGCCCAACGAGCGCACCTGGAGACACATTATGGACCGGGTCAGAACCAGAACATCCACAAACCCACTTAAACTTAGAGGCCTTACAGCAATTCTTCTTCCTCCTCTTCATCACACAACAGAGTTCTGATTAAGACCCAAAAGAACCGAACCCGTTAGTCTGGACCTGAGAGAGCAGAGCTACGCCAGCGAGGTGGAAGTCCAGGACCGACCGCCGGGCCGACCGGACCGGACTGACCGCACCTCATAGGTCGGCGTCCAGTTCTGGTTCTGTCTGACGGGACGGACGCTTGGTCCACAGGAGCTCTCCATGGTCCTGTCATCTAATGAAGCCGACTAATGAGGCGTGGAGCGAAGCTCCGAGTCGCTACGAGTATCGGCGCCCGTTTCTGAGTGACTGGCTGATCCGTCAAACATGGAGGATCAAAGGTTTCTGCTGTGGCGCCATTTTGAGCTCATGGTTGGTTTTATTTTCTGGTTCTTTGAATTTAAATTAATGATTCACCTTTAGTTCACCGTAATTATTCACAAGTTCACATACGGACTGACTGCATCTAAAAATATATAAAAGATATGAAAAATAATCCTTTAGAACCCCACAGCATGATGCTGCCACCACCATGCTGCTCACAGCATGATGCTGCCACCACCATGCTGCCCACAGCATGATGCTGCCACCACCATGCTGCTCACAGCATGATGCTGCCACCACCATGCTGCCCACAGCATGATGCTGCCACCACCATGCTGCCCACAGCATGATGCTGCCACCACCATGCTGCTCACAGCATGATGCTGCCACCACCATGCTGCTCACAGCATGATGCTGCCACCACCATGCTGCTCACAGCATGATGCTGCCACCACCATGCTGCTCACAGCATGATGCTGCCACCACCATGCTGCTCACAGCATGATGCTGCCACCACCATGCTGCTCACAGCATGATGCTGCCACCACCATGCTGCTCACAGCATGATGCTGCCACCACCATGCTGCTCACAGCATGATGCTGCCACCACCATGCTGCTCACAGCATGATGCTGCCACCACCATGCTGCTCACAGCATGATGCTGCCACCACCATGATGCTCACAGCATGATGCTGCCACCACCATGCTGCTCACAGCATGATGCTGCCACCACCATGATGCTCACAGCATGATGCTGCCACCACCATGCTGCTCACAGCATGATGCTGCCACCACCATGCTGCTCACAGCATGATGCTGCCACCACCATGCTGCTCACAGCATGATGCTGCCACCACCATGCTGCTCACAGCATGATGCTGCCACCACCATGCTGCTCACAGCATGATGCTGCCACCACCATGCTGCTCACAGCATGATGCTGCCACCACCATGCTGCCCACAGCATGATGCTGCCACCACCATGCTGCCCACAGCATGATGCTGCCACCACCATGCTGCCCACAGCATGATGCTGCCACCACCATGCTGCTCACAGCATGATGCTGCCACCACCATGCTGCCCACAGCATGATGCTGCCACCACCATGCTGCCCACAGCATGATGCTGCCACCACCATGCTGCTCACAGCATGATGCTGCCACCACCATGCTGCCCACAGCATGATGCTGCCACCACCATGCTGCCCACAGCATGATGCTGCCACCACCATGCTGCTCACAGCATGATGCTGCCACCACCATGCTGCTCACAGCATGATGCTGCCACCACCATGCTGCTCACAGCATGATGCTGCCACCACCATGCTGCCCACAGCATGATGCTGCCACCACCATGCTGCTCACAGCATGATGCTGCCACCACCATGCTGCTCACAGCATGATGCTGCCACCACCATGCTGCTCACAGCATGATGCTGCCACCACCATGATGCTCACAGCATGATGCTGCCACCACCATGCTGCTCACAGCATGATGCTGCCACCACCATGCTGCTCACAGCATGATGCTGCCACCACCATGATGCTCACAGCATGATGCTGCCACCACCATGCTGCTCACAGCATGATGCTGCCACCACCATGATGCTCACAGCATGATGCTGCCACCACCATGATGCTCACAGCATGATGCTGCCACCACCATGATGCTCACAGCATGATGCTGCCACCACCATGATGCCCACAGCATGATGCTGCCACCACCATGCTGCCCACAGCATGATGCTGCCACCACCATGCTGCTCAGTGCCAGGCGCTACTGGGACCAGTTAGTGACGTGTTGATCCCATCATGCACCTGCCTCCCCCCACCACTCACCCACAGCACCAGCGGGGACTCCATGAAGGAGGCCAGCAGTTCGGACAGGGTCGCATCCATCTCGGTCCTCAATCACTCATCAACCCGCCGATCGATCCGGATCAAAGCTGCCGCTGTCCCCCCTCCCCTCCCCTCCCCTCTCTCTTCCTTCTGTGCACGCGCTCAGCAGCGGCTCACTATTGTCTCTGTGGTTCCCACAGTGAGCGAGCAGCGAGGATGAAAGTCGGTAAAAAGCAGCTGGACCGGGTCAGAACCGCCCACTGAGGCTCCCGGAGGTTCTGGACTCGGTTCCGTTAGTTCAGCGGCTCCATCGAAGCGTCCAACACTTGATCCAAACTTCGCTCCGATAGTTGATCGTGTTGCCAAGGAGACACAAAGAGGAACGTAAAGCGTCGAAAAGCGCAGAAAAGTAGTAAAACATGAAGAATCACGTGAGAAAGTAGTGAAAGTCGTGAGCAGAACCGGGTCAAAGTCCTGTTCCCGCTGGCGGCTCCATCCGGACCGACACCGCCGCTTCATCAACCTGTGAGAGCCGAGAACACAAGGAGGCAGACCGACGACCCGGACAGCCAATCAACGACAGGCCACAGCAGCAGCTCCCGCCTTATTGGCTGGACTGACCAATGAAGGAGAAGGCTTTCACACCGGCTCTGACGTCACAGTCTGGCAGAATGACGAAGATGAGTGATGGAACAAGATGATTCCCGCCGGAAGGGAGAGGCTGTTCACCGCATTTAAACCATTATTTAAATTAATCTTGCTTTAATTTGTTTTTAACATTTATTCTTTATCCAAATGTTCCCCGAAATATTCTTTCAAATAAATGAAACATTTAATCTGGTGTAATTTCTTTTTCTGTTCTTCTAATCGCCCTTAGAGCCAGAATAATGAACTGTTTTATATTCTTCTAATTTATTTCCGATTTTTTATATTAAAGTTCATGTTACTGTTTTTCTTTTAAGAAGTTTTATAACTAGTTTCAGCCCCAGTTTTATACTAGTTTGTGTTTTTAGGCACACATTCCTTTCAGTTATGGGTTTTATTTTACAGTATAGTTTATATTTCCAAATATCCCTTAATGACTGTGATAATTTTATTTTTTTTATTATTATATTTATTCCGCATGAAGATGGTCTGCAGCTGCAGCCAAAATAAAATGGATCCAAATAAACATTAGATTAGGAGAAAAGCTTCCTCTGCTCCTCCTCGTCCCACTCCCACTCCTGGATCCCACAGAGCCCGAAAGTGCTTGTTGGTAGAAGGTAGTTATCTTGTTCTCACTCTCTGATCAGCCTTCCTTGACTCAGTTTGAAAAGGAAACCGATGTTAAGGTCAGATCAAAAGCCAGAAGATACGCTACCTGCAGGCATAGAGGTATGCTCCTGCAGCAGCAGGCAGGCAGGTCTGCTCCTGCAGCAGGCAGGTCTGCTCCTGCAGCAGCAGGCAGAGGTCTGCTCCTGCAGCAGCAGGCAGGCAGGTCTGCTCCTGCAGCAGGCAGGTCTGCTCCTGCAGCAGCAGGCAGAGGTCTGCTCCTGCAGCAGCAGGCAGGGAGGTCTGCTCCTGCAGCAGCAGGCAGGCAGGTCTGCTCCTGCAGCAGCAGGCAGGCAGGTCTGCTCCTGCAGCAGGCAGGTCTGCTCCTGCAGCAGCAGGCAGGCAGGTCTGCTCCTGCAGCAGGCAGGCAGGTCTGCTCCTGCAGCAGGCAGGTCTGCTCCTGCAGCAGCAGGCAGGCAGGTCTGCTCCTGCAGCAGGCAGGTCTGCTCCTGCAGCAGCAGGCAGGCAGGTCTGCTCCTGCAGCAGCAGGCAGGCAGGTCTGCTCCTGCAGCAGCAGGCAGGGAGGTCTGCTCCTGCAGCAGCAGGCAGGCAGGTCTGCTCCTGCAGCAGGCAGGTCTGCTCCTGCAGCAGCAGGCAGAGGTCTGCTCCTGCAGCAGCAGGCAGGGAGGTCTGCTCCTGCAGCAGGCAGGTCTGCTCCTGCAGCAGCAGGCAGGGAGGTCTGCTCCTGCAGCAGCAGGCAGGCAGGTCTGCTCCTGCAGCAGGCAGGTCTGCTCCTGCAGCAGCAGGCAGGCAGGTCTGCTCCTGCAGCAGGCAGGTCTGCTCCTGCAGCAGCAGGCAGAGGTCTGCTCCTGCAGCAGCAGGCAGGCAGGTCTGCTCCTGCAGCAGGCAGGTCTGCTCCTGCAGCAGCAGGCAGAGGTCTGCTCCTGCAGCAGCAGGCAGGGAGGTCTGCTCCTGCAGCAGGCAGGTCTGCTCCTGCAGCAGCAGGCAGGGAGGTCTGCTCCTGCAGCAGCAGGCAGGCAGGTCTGCTCCTGCAGCAGGCAGGTCTGCTCCTGCAGCAGCAGGCAGGCAGGTCTGCTCCCGCAGCAGGCAGGTCTGCTCCTGCAGCAGCAGGCAGAGGTCTGCTCCTGCAGCAGCAGGCAGGCAGGTCTGCTCCTGCAGCAGGCAGGCAGGTCTGCTCCTGCAGCAGGCAGGTCTGCTCCTGCAGCAGCAGGCAGGCAGGTCTGCTCCTGCAGCAGCAGGCAGGGAGGTCTGCTCCTGCAGCAGCAGGCAGGCAGGTCTGCTCCTGCAGCAGCAGGCAGGCAGGTCTGCTCCTGCAGCAGCAGGCAGAGGTCTGCTCCTGCAGCAGCAGGCAGGGAGGTCTGCTCCTGCAGCAGGCAGGTCTGCTCCTGCAGCAGCAGGCAGGGAGGTCTGCTCCTGCAGCAGCAGGCAGGCAGGTCTGCTCCTGCAGCAGCAGGCAGGCAGGTCTGCTCCTGCAGCAGGCAGGTCTGCTCCTGCAGCAGCAGGCAGAGGTCTGCTCCTGCAGCAGCAGGCAGGCAGGTCTGCTCCTGCAGCAGGCAGGTCTGCTCCTGCAGCAGCAGGCAGAGGTCTGCTCCTGCAGCAGCAGGCAGGCAGGTCTGCTCCTGCAGCAGCAGGCAGGGAGGTCTGCTCCTGCAGCAGGCAGGTCTGCTCCTGCAGCAGGCAGAGGTCTGCTCCTGCAGCAGCAGGCAGGGAGGTCTGCTCCTGCAGCAGCAGTCAGGGAGGTCTGCTCCTGCAGCAGCAGTCAGGGAGGTCTGCTCCTGCAGCAGCAGTCAGGGAGGTCTGCTCCTGCTTCATGCAGCCTCCACCTACAGATGTCGGACAGACCGTTCACCTGCTGACAGGAAGCATGCATCACCTCCCCAGACTGACTGAAACCAAAGTTTAGCGAAGCACAAAACCTCAGATTACGTGGCAACAATCAATAGGAAGACAGCACCACCTCGTGGTCAATGTCATGCACTACAACTGTCCCTCTGGAAGCTGCTCTTATGCAATTAAGCTGCATCAGACTCTTCACTGAAGCAAAGAAGCTTCTGCTTCATTTCTGGTCATTAAGGTCAGACGTTCAGTAAAGTGAGTCCAGTTGCTTCTGCTGCTCCTGTGTTTAATGGCAGAGAGCAGCTTTGCTATATTTGCTGTGATCAGAGGGTCAAAAGTAGTTTCAAGACAGTGAACTTCGTTACTGTGACGGCGGAAGGAGAAAACGCTGGAAAAACAAAAGTCACAGCGCGGCACTGAGGCCTGTTCTGATTGGAAGACGCCTCGTTATGCGGCCGATAAATGCAACAACTCTGCAGGGTGGGGACTATAAATCTGATACCTGAGAGGAAGGTACTGCTGCTGAAGCTCCTCAGAAATGTTACTAGCACCCAGAACAGCAGGAAGAGTTCAGCATCCATTCTTTTCCTGCTTTGTGTCAACTGTCATGGTTGCTAGGCAACAGGGCATACGGCAGTGAAAGCCAGGGAAGGCTGGACCTGTTTGAATGCACAGCCAAAACTCTTCCAGCCTCCTTAGTCTCACAGACCTAGAAGGATCCTGTCCAGGTAGACCGGGTCCTCGGAGGATCCTGTCCAGGTAGACCGGGTCCTCGGAGGATCCTGTCCAGGTAGACCGGGTCCTCGGAGGATCCTGTCCAGGTAGACCGGGTCATGGAGGATCCTGTCCAGGTAGACCGGGTCCTGGAGGATCCTGTCCAGGTAGACCGGGTCCTTGGAGGATCCTGTCCAGGTAGAACGGGTCATGGAGGATCCTGTCCAGGTAGACCGGGTCATGGAGGATCCTGTCCAGGTAGACCGGGTCATGGAGGATCCTGTCCAGGTAGACCGGGTCATGGAGGATCCTGTCCAGGTAGACCGGGTCATGGAGGATCCTGTCCAGGTAGACCGGGTCCTGGAGGATCCTGTCCAGGTAGACCGGGTCCTGGAGGATCCTGTCCAGGTAGACCGGGTCCTGGAGGATCCTGTCCAGGTAGACCGGGTCCTCGGAGGATCCTGTCCAGGTAGACCGGGTCCTCGGAGGATCCTGTCCAGGTAGACCGGGTCCTGGAGGATCCTGACAAGGTAGACCGGGTCCTGGAGGATCCTGTCCAGGTAGACCGGGTCCTCGGAGGATCCTGTCCAGGTAGACCGGGTCCTCGGAGGATCCTGTCCAGGTAGACCGGGTCCTCGGAGGATCCTGTCCAGGTAGACCGGGTCCTCGGAGGATCCTGTCCAGGTAGACCGGGTCCTCGGAGGATCCTGTCCAGGTAGACCGGGTCCTCGGAGGATCCTGTCCAGGTAGACCGGGTCCTCGGAGGATCCTGTCCAGGTAGACCGGGTCCTCGGAGGATCCTGTCCAGGTAGACCGGGTCCTCGGAGGATCCTGTCCAGGTAGACCGGGTCCTCGGAGGATCCTGTCCAGGTAGACCGGGTCCTCGGAGGATCCTGTCCAGGTAGACCGGGTCCTGGAGGATCCTGTCCAGGTAGACCGGGTCCTGGAGGATCCTGTCCAGGTAGACCGGGTCCTGGAGGATCCTGTCCAGGTAGACCGGGTCCTGGAGGATCCTGTCCAGGTAGACCGGGTCATGGAGGATCCTGTCCAGGTAGACCGGGTCCTGGAGGATCCTTTCCAGGTAGACCGGGTCCTGGAGGATCCTGTCCAGGTAGACCGGGTCCTGGAGGATCCTTTCCAGGTAGACCGGGTCATGGAGGATCCTGTCCAGGTAGACCGGGTCCTGGAGGATCCTGTCCAGGTAGACCGGGTCCTGGAGGATCCTGTCCAGGTAGACCGGGTCCTGGAGGATCCTGTCCAGGTAGACCGGGTCCTGGAGGATCCTGTCCAGGTAGACCGGGTCATGGAGGATCCTGTCCAGGTAGACCGGGTCATGGAGGATCCTGTCCAGGTAGACCGGGTCCTCGGAGGATCCTGTCCAGGTAGACCGGGTCATGGAGGATCCTGTCCAGGTAGACCGGGTCATGGAGGATCCTGTCCAGGTAGACCGGGTCATGGAGGATCCTGTCCAGGTAGAACGGGTCATGGAGGATCCTGTCCAGGTAGACCGGGTCCTGGAGGATCCTGTCCAGGTAGACCGGGTCATGGAGGATCCTGTCCAGGTAGACCGGGTCCTGGAGGATCCTGTCCAGGTAGACCGGGTCCTGGAGGATCCTGTCCAGGTAGACCGGGTCCTGGAGGATCCTGTCCAGGTAGACCGGGTCCTGGAGGATCCTGTCCAGGTAGACCGGGTCCTCGGAGGATCCTGTCCAGGTAGACCGGGTCCTCGGAGGAT